TAAACTGTTCTTTCTAGATATCCAGTAAGAATCATCTCTTATTGATCCAGTCTTACTACAGGAGGAAACTAAACTAAACTAACTTTATTTATACTGGATAGCTCTATCAGTTCTAACCTGTTCTCCTAGAGGTCCAGTAAGGATCATCTCTTTTTGATCCAGTGTCACTACAGGAGGAAACCTAAACTAAACTAACTTTATTTATACTGGATAGCTCTATCAGTTCTAAACTGTTCTTCCTAGAGGTCCAGTAAGGATCATCTCTTGTTGATCTAGTGTTACTACAGGAGGAAACCTAAACTAAACTAACTTTATTTATACTGGATAGCTCTATCAGTTCTAAACTGTTCTCCTAGAGGTCCAGCAAGGATCATCTCTTATTGATCCAGTGTTACTACAAAAGGAAACCTAAACTAAACTAACTTTATTTATACTGGATAGCTCTATCAGTTCTAAACTGTTCTCCTAGAGGTCCAGCAAGGATCATCTCTTATTGAATGGTCCAGTCCTCCTGTATTACACCATAGAAGAGGAAACAACTAGAGTTCCCACAGTTTACTATACTGTTGGTTACTGTGATCTTGAGCCCAATCACAAGCCTATCCTTAACCCTACTGTGCAGGAAACATGAGGACATATGCTGCAGTATGCACATGAAAACGAGGCCACTGGGCCAAAAATGCTTTCAACTTTATTACTGTAAATATTTTTATATTTATATTGTGCTTACTGACGAACTTTAGTTTGCAACCATCAATTTAGTTAGGACAGGGAAACATATTTGCGCATAAAACATGGGGATATAACTTTCATGCGCATGCGCATGCTATACTAAAACAGGCAAACATGACAATTATTATTTAATCTTATTTACACGCATACAAGCAACGTTATGGTAGCCCTTCAGAGCAAAATATTGTACCAAAGCTGATTTCCAAGGGGCCGAACTAACAAAAATGTAGCACGAATGATCACAAGGATCGCAAACGTGCAATTTATTAAAACAATGAAGTCTGTTCACTTTAAGAAGGAAGAAATCAGGGAGACGATTATCACTAAAATAATTTGTTTCACAGCATGTTGTAGGAGTAGACAAGTTATGAAAATTCTCAGGGTGCTTTCCATTCCATAAAACGTCTGGGCTTCGGACCTATCTGACCGGAAAATCTAGATAACATTAGAATGAGGTCCATTTTCGCTAGATATTTGAGAAACACAGACCAGATCTTTCCATTGATACAGAGAAAAAAATTTGGGTCTGACAGGTCAGGTCATTATATGGAAAGCGCCCTCAGTATATGTACCCGCATCTGAACATTCTAACTCGTCCACATACATCCGAATAATCTTGCCTAAACTTGCAGCAAAATTACAAGACAATCTTGCCTAAAATTGCAGCAAAATTACAAGAGGAAACGGTCCCTTAATTGGTGATTAACCACAAACGGTGACCTCGGAAATCGCTTGTTAGTCAAATATTAAAATGTTTAAAATATAACTTAGATCTTTTTTTAGAACAAAGGAGTGTTTATTGGATTTTTTGTCTAAACAAAACCATTTCAAAATCCCTTTCTTTATTGTTCTATAAATGGTGCTAAATCTAAAAATAAATATTTGTTTCTGACTCTGTGTAGTTCTTAATAAAATTTGCGAGGAAATCATATTGGCTTTTAGCTTGAAAAAGAAAGAAATTGTTAAGAAAATTCGGGAAAATGAAGGTCCTATTAAGTTGGTTTTTTTCCCTCTGATTGAAATATTTTAGTTGGCGTTGCGAAATCTTTAATATTATTGTATTGTAATCGGCTTCCTTATGATCATTTGTGCTGCATTTTTGTTGGTTTACATTTGACCCACTACCATATGAAAACGTTTTTGTTTTTTCAATTAAAAGAAAATCAAATCAGGGTATTTACGACCAAATAGGGTATCTAGCAACAAATTGAATGGTAGTGTTGAACACGACTGCAGACGTTAGAGATCCATGGAGTGACGACAGCCTTCCTTCATAGTATAAGGGGATGACTCCAAATTCAAAACTTTAAAACTTTAAAACTTAGTTGAATGAAGAATACAGATTTATAGGCCAACTACAAAAATCATGTGAAGGTAATGTAGCTTTTGTAAACCTAGAGTTACTTACGAGTTATTGACTATAACAACTCCAAAAATCATGTGTAGCCAGTTGTTTAGAATTACTGGCTGTGCCGGTATAGTCTCTTCAACCTTATTGTAAGTATTCAAATTTCTCGTTCCTGTGACCTCGTACAGCGTGGACCTTACTAATGCTTGCGTACTGAATTTTCGTGATGAACTTTTTATAGCATTTTTGCATGTTCAAGTTTGACTGTTCAAATACCGCAGGTATATTTCTGGGTACTGTGGTTCCTTCTCTAGTAATAATGTAGTAGGAGATGAACTTCCTACACGGAATACGTTTATAAATGATAGAGTCATCCGTGCAGTGTATACTAAGTTGGTTTGATTTGGGTTTCCTCCTGTAGTAACATTGGATCAATAAATGATCCTTACTGGACCTCTAGGGAGAACAGTTTACAACTGATAGAGCTATCCAGTACAAATCAAGTTAGTTTAGTTTAGGTTTCCTCCTGTAGTAACACTGTATCAATAAGAGATGATCCTTACTGGTCCTCTAGCGAGAACAGTTTAGAACTGATAGAGCTATCCAGTAAAAATAAAGTTAGTTTAGTTTAAGTTTCCTCCTGTAGTAACACTGGATCAATAAGGGAAACGCTCGATTTGGATCTCTGTAGAACTGATGGAACTACCATTCAGTACAATACATAAGGATTTCATTAGTTTGGGTTACCTCCTGCCTGGGCCTTTAGCATGGAGAAGAGTTTAGTATACCCAGTATAAATAAAGTTGGTTTAGTTTGGGTTACCTCCTGCAGTACTACAGGATCAAAGTGGAAGGGCCTATTTGGATCTCTAGGGAAAACAGTTCGGAACTGATATGGGTATCCTGTCTAAATAAAGCTGGTTTAGTTTGGGTTACCCCCTGTAGCATAAATCTAAAATAAACTAACTAGATATATATTGAAAAGCTCTATCACTTCTAAACTGTTCTTTGGAATGGTCCAGTAAGAGCTAGTAATCTCTTAGTAGTCTAGTGTTAATACAGGAAAAGACTTAATCTGAATGAACTTTATTTATACAGGATAGCTATATCAGTTCTAAACTGTCCTCCCTAGAGGTCCAGTAAGGATCATCTCTTATTGATCCAATGTTACTACAGGAGGAAACCTAAACTAAACTACAATAACTTTATTTATACAGGATAGCTCTATCAGTTCTAAACTGTTCTCCCTAGAGGTCCACTAAGGATCATCTCTTATTGATCCAGTGTTTCTACAGGAGAAAACTTAAACTAAACTAACTCTATTTATTATACCTCTGTCAGTTCTAAATTGTTCTCCCTTGAGCTCAAATAAGAGTCATCTCTTACTGAATTAACTTTATTTATACAGGATGGCTCTATCAGCTCTAAATTGTTCTCTCTATAGAGGTCCAGTAAGGATCATCTCCTATCCATCCAGTATTACTAGTAACAGGAGGAAACCTAACCTAAACTAACTTTATTTATACTGGATCAGTTCTAAACTGTTCCCTTCAATAATAATCAAGTATTAGTATAAGAAGAAGCCGAAGAATCCTGTAGAGTTTGAAAGAGTCAAACTGGAACCGCAAACAGTCAAAATATACAAAGTAATGAAGACTAGACATTGATCAGCATGCGACACACTTCATACATCAAAATATCAAAATAGAGATACATTGAAACCTAAATGCTTTTGATCTGTATACCCAAACTTAGCTGGAAAATTATATCCCCAGCTCGAATACACAGCGGTCTTGCTGCTTAACACAAGGTTATTTATGTACGGTAGATTGTTTGGGCAATGAATTTCACAGCTTGATCACCACAGGGCAGCCATAACTTTAACCGTGGATGGCGCGAGGATATTTTTATCCGAATGTTTATTTTGGTTTGGGAATTTTTAGCTTGGTTTTGTATAGAAATTGGGAAAGTACCGACACGTAGGTATTATTAGATATTTTGGCCTTTCTGTTCGGCTTTTGACCTCTGTAATATCATGCAAATGCAATGCAAATCTCATCAGTTTTGATCGGTTCCCTGTTACTCCATGCAGAGAATGATTGCAAGGAGGAAGGGTTTAATGCGACATAATCTCGCAATTTCGCCGATGTTGTTTGCATTTTAATTCAAACATCTTAGAGGAGTCTATGGGTAAAGTAGAAGCAAGCACTATTGTGCGATCTTTGAAATCTTCACTCCTTCAGAAAATCTTACAACTCAGACTCGATTATCGAACCGATTTTGTATCAGTGATGAAGATGCTAGCTCGTGGAGTCTAGGGGCCGGTCGTTCGAACATCAGTTAGCTTAACCCTAGGTTAACCTAAAATTCAAAGCAAACTTCCTAACAGCTTGTTTACGTACTTGGAAATATTTCTTCAGAAATCTTGTCTGGATCGATAGGAGTTTTCTTTGCTGAAGTTTTCAAATAAACGGAGGTGCAGATATTCACAAAGTGAAACAGGGATCGATTGTTCAAAAGCCGTTTATATAGCTTGACCCTATATAGGTTATCTTAATATTCAAAGCAAACTTCCTATGACAACTTGCTTATAAATTTGAAATTATTTCTTCAGAAATATTCTCTGGATCAGTAGGACTTTTCTTCTCTGAAGTTTTGAAATACATAAACTGAAAGTTTAGTGCTAATCCATGCAGCTTTGAACAACCGGCCCCCTGAGACTAATAGTAGGCTTGACATAACATAACATGGTTCCCGGTTTCCTTATGCAAAAATTTGTACGATATTTTGCAATATAGAGCAACCTACTGTGAAGCCCTTATACGTTTATACAAACATTTGTGAAACAACATGTAGGCCTGCAACGCTTGTTCTGCTTTTGGTTTAAATTTTTGTTCAATAACAAGTTCAGAAAATATCACCACGTATATATAACTATTTTTCATTTATTTTTAATCTTTTCCAAATCCAAATAGTTTATATTCAATGTTCTTGTTGTATACTTTCTATATACAGGATACAGTTACTTCTACATCGAAAGGATGACCACATACAGTATGTTTGCCTATTCTAGAAAAAAATAATCTATTTATTTACAACAGGCATATGTACAAGCTTTATATAAGCTTGTTTGCATGTTCCACAGTTTTAAAATAAAATCCTTTTCCTTTTGAAATACACCGAAACACAGCAGAATTATTTTGGGAATTCCTGGTCGGTTCTTCACAAGTATTGATTGATGTTCTTAAGCATTCCTTGGCGTTTACTTGGCTGGTGGTTTCAAACACACATGGTAGTTTCCAAAGATCCTGTAATGAATGAGAGAAGAATATATGATATTCGCATTTAATGCTCGTTTATACTTGTAATTTTTGCTGCGATTTTAGGTGCGATTTTCTTCTTCCGATGTATGTACCAGGCTGGTTGTTCAAAGATGGGTTAGCACTAACCCTGGGTTAAAATTTAACCTGGTGTTTTAGTTTATGTATTTCTGCACGTCTGTTTATTTTAAAATTTCAAAGAAGAAAACTCCTATCGATCCAGACAAGATCTCTCAAGAAATATTTCCAAATTTACAGACAGGCTGTCAGGTAGTTTGCTTTGAATTTTAGGTTAACCTAGGGTTAAGCTAATCCATATTCTTAATCTGTGGCTTAACTGAGCACAGTTGCATTAGTGTTGCAGATGGTGGTTCTTTAATAGACAATTCCCATTATAGACTAATTTTAAAACTAGGCAAGGAGATGCAAATAAATCACCACAGCTAGAAAGAGCATACTAAAATTAGTAAAATTACAAAATTTGGTTGCGAAATGTTGTAAAATGTGGAAAATATAGCCTTGCAAAGTTTGCAAATTTTGTATACTTTTGTATTGCGTGTGACATTTTCGGCCTAAATGTGGTAGGAATGTGGTAGGAATTTCCGCAAGCAATACAAAAGTATACAATATTTGCGAACTTTGCAAGGCTATATTTTCCTCATTTTACAACATTTTACAACAATAATTTTACTAATTTTAGTATGCTCTTTCTAGCTGTGGTGATTTATTTGAGTTTCCTTACCTAATTTTAAAATTAGTCTATAATGGGAATTGCCTATTAAAAATGAAATATTTTGTCTTACCCTACTTGTCTGCATTCGAGTTTCTTGCTTTCCTTACATGGACCACAGGCAGTCTGCACATGCGCACCGATATACACTGTTCTATATTGGTTAACTGGACCACACACATGATTTTCGTCTAACTGAGGTTTGCACATTGATACGGCCGGGTTGATGGCAGGTTCTCGCACGCAGCAATGATCAGGCGCTTTACAGTCTTCTTTCTTGTCGCAGAAAGTACCTGGAGTGCGAAGTTTGGAAAGTTAGATGGTTATATCTGGAGCTCACTGATCCCTATATCTGAGCCCACTGATCTCTAAAAATATCCTAACTCCAAAGCCTGGTTTACACTATCAAAGTTTCTGAGATCACCGTAGGAATTTTGCATAGGTAAAGTTTTGAAGGATTTGTAAGAAATATGTGATTGATTACAATCAAAGATTAAATGTTAGCTCAATGATTGGTTAATTCTGACTATTATCCTAACCCTAAAGCTTAAAGCTTAGTTCACGCTATCAAAGTTTCAATTCTGAGATCACAGTAGGAATTTTGCATAGGTAAAGTTTTGAAGGATTTGTAAGAAATATTTGATTGATTACAATCAAAGATTAAATGTTAGCTCAGTGATTGGCTAATTCTGACTATTATCCTAACCCTAAAGCTTAGTTTACACTATCAAAGTTTCTGTGATCACAGTAGGAATTTTGCAAAGGTAAATTCTACGTTTTGAAGGATTTGTAAGAAATGTTTGAGGAAACTGACTCGGTGTTAAACACACGACTCAATGGATGATTCCAGCCGTATTGGCGAAATTTTGATCTACACAAGAAGAACGAAATCCATTACCATAGCTGGAAAGAGCATCTTAATACAAGAAGAACGAAATCCATTACCATAGCTGGAAAGAGTATCTTAATACAAGAAGAACGAAATCCATTACCATAGCTGGAAAGAGCATCTTAATACAAGAAGAACGAAATCCATTACCATAGCTGGAAAGATCATCTTAATACAAGAAGAACGAAATCCATTACCATAGCTGGAAAGAGTATCTTAATACAAGAAGAACGAAATCCATTACCATAGCTGGAAAGAGAATCTTAATACAAGAAGAACGAAATCCATTACCATAGCTGGAAAGATCATCTTAATACAAGAAGAACGAAATCCATTACCATAGCTGGAAAGAGCATCTTAATACAAGAAGAACGAAATCCATTACCATAGCTGGAAAGAGCATCTTAATACAAGAAGAACGAAATCCATTACCATAGCTGGAAAGATCATCTTAATACAAGAAGAACGAAATCCATTACCATAGCTGGAAAGAGCATCTTAATACAAGAAGAACGAAATCCATTACCATAGCTGGAAAGAGCATCTTAATACAAGAAGAACGAAATCCATTACCATAGCTGGAAAGAGCATCTTAATACAAGAAGAACGAAATCCATTACCATAGCTGGAAAGAGCATCTTAATACAAGAAGAACGAAATCCATTACCATAGCTGGAAAGAGCATCTTAATACAAGAAGAACGAAATTCATTACCATAGCTGGAAAGAGCATCTTAATACAAGAAGAACGAAATCCATTACCATAGCTGGAAAGAGTATCTTAATACAAGAAGAACGAAATCCATTACCATAGCTGGAAAGAGTCATCTTAATACAAGAAGAACGAAATCCATTACCATAGCTGGAAAGAGTATCTTAATACAAGAAGAACGAAATCCATTACCATAGCTAGAAAGAGCATCTTAATACAAGAAGAACGAAATCCATTACCATAGCTGGAAAGAGCATCTTAATACAAGAAGAACGAAATCCATTACCATGACTGGAAAGATCATCTTAATACAAGAAGAACGAAATCCATTACCATAGCTGGAAAGAGTATCTTAATACAAGAAGAACGAAATCCATTACCATGACTGGAAAGATCATCTTAATACAAGAAGAACGAAATCCATTACCATAGCTGGAAAGAGTATCTTAATACAAGAAGAACGAAATCCATTACCATAGCTGGAAAGAGTATCTTAATACAAGAAGAACGAAATCCATTACCATAGCTGGAAAGAGTATCTTAATACAAGAAGAACGAAATTCATTACCATAGCTGGAAAGAGCATCTTAATACAAGAAGAACGAAATCCATTACCATAGCTGGAAAGATCATCTTAATACAAGAAGAACGAAATCCATTACCATGACTGGAAAGATCATCTTAATACAAGAAGAACGAAATCCATTATTATAGCTGGAAAGAGTATCTTAATACAAGAAGAACGAAATCCATTACCATAGCTGGAAAGAGTATCTTAATACAAGAAGAACGAAATCCATTACCATAGCTGGAAAGAGCATCTTAATACAAGAAGAACGAAATCCATTACCATAGCTAGAAAGAGCATCTTAATACAAGAAGAACGAAATCCATTACCATAGCTGGAAAGAGCATCTTAATACAAGAAGAACGAAATCCATTACCATAGCTGGAAAGATCATCTTAAAACAAGAAGAACGAAATCCATTACCATAGCTGGAAAGAGCATCTTAATACAAGAAGAACGAAATCCATTACCATAGCTGGAAAGATCATCTTAATACAAGAAGAACGAAATCCATTACCATAGCTGGAAAGAGCATCTTAATACAAGAAGAACGAAATCCATTACCATAGCTGGAAAGAGCATCTTAATACAAGAAGAACGAAATCCATTACCATAGCTAGAAAGAGTATCTTAATACAAGAAGAACGAAATCCATTACCATAGCTGGAAAGAGTATCTTAATACAAGAAGAACGAAATCCATTACCATAGCTGGAAAGAGTATCTTAATACAAGAAGAACGAAATCCATTACCATAGCTGGAAAGATCATCTTAATACAAGAAGAACGAAATCCATTACCATAGCTGGAAAGAGTATCTTAATACAAGAAGAACGAAATCCATTACCATAGCTGGAAAGAGTATCTTAATACAAGAAGAACGAAATCCATTACCATAGCTGGAAAGAGTATCTTAATACAAGAAGAACGAAATCCATTACCATAGCTGGAAAGAGCATCTTAATACAAGAAGAACGAAATCCATTACCATAGCTGGAAAGAGCATTTTAAAACAAGAAGAACGAAATCCATTACCATAGCTGGAAAGAGCATCTTAATACAAGAAGAACGAAATTCATTACCATAGCTGGAAAGAGCATCTTAATACAAGAAGAACGAAATCCATTACCATAGCTGGAAAGAGCATCTTAAAACAAGAAGAACGAAATCCATTACCATAGCTGGAAAGAGCATCTTAATACAAGAAGAACGAAATCCATTACCATAGCTGGAAAGAGCATCTTAAAACAAGAAGAACGAAATCCATTACCATAGCTGGAAAGAGCATCTTAATACAAGAAGAACGAAATCCATTACCATAGCTGGAAAGAGTATCTTAATACAAGAAGAACGAAATCCATTACCATAGCTGGAAAGAGCATCTTAATACAAGAAGAACGAAATCCATTACCATAGCTGGAAAGATCATCTTAATACAAGAAGAACGAAATCCATTACCATAGCTAGAAAGAGCATCTTAATACAAGAAGAACGAAATCCATTACCATAGCTGGAAAGAGCATCTTAATACAAGAAGAACGAAATCCATTACCATAGCTGGAAAGAGTATCTTAATACAAGAAGAACAAAATCCATTACCATAGCTGGAAAGAGTATCTTAATACAAGAAGAACGAAATCCATTACCATAGCTGGAAAGAGCATCTTAAAACAAGAAGAACGAAATCCATTACCATAGCTGGAAAGAGCATCTTAATACAAGAAGAACGAAATCCATTACCATAGCTAGAAAGAGCATCTTAATACAAGAAGAACGAAACCATTACCATAGCTGGAAAGAGCATCTTAATACAAGAAGAACGAAATCCATTACCATAGCTGGAAAGAGTATCTTAATACAAGAAGAACGAAATCCATTACCATAGCTGGAAAGAGTATCTTAATACAAGAAGAACGAAATCCATTACCATAGCTGGAAAGAGTATCTTAATACAAGAAGAACGAAATTCATTACCATAGCTGGAAAGAGTATCTTAATACAAGAAGAACGAAATCCATTACCATAGCTGGAAAGAGTATCTTAATACAAGAAGAACGAAATCCATTACCATAGCTGGAAAGAGCATCTTAATACAAGAAGAACGAAATCCATTACCATAGCTAGAAAGAGCATCTTAATACAAGAAGAACGAAATCCATTACCATAGCTGGAAAGAGTATCTTAATACAAGAAGAACGAAATTCATTACCATAGCTGGAAAGAGCATCTTAAGACAAGAGGAACGAAATCCATTACCATAGCTGGAAAGAGCATCTTAATACAAGAAGAACGAAATCCATTACCATAGCTGGAAAGAGCGTCTTAATACAAGAAGAACGAAATCCATTACCATAGCTGGAAAGAGCGTCTTAATACAAGAAGAACGAAATCCATTACCATAGCTGGAAAGAGCATCTTAATACAAGAAGAACGAAATCCATTACCATAGCTGGAAAGAGCATCTTAATACAAGAAGAACGAAATCCATTACCATAGCTGGAAAGAGCATTTTAATACAAGAAGAACGAAATCCATTACCATAGCTGGAAAGAGCATCTTAATACAAGAAGAACGAAATCCATTACCATAGCTGGAAAGAGCATCTTAATACAAGAAGAACGAAATCCATTACCATAGCTAGAAAGAGTATCTTAATACAAGAAGAACGAAATCCATTACCATAGCTGGAAAGAGCATCTTAATACAAGAAGAACGAAATCCATTACCATAGCTGGAAAGAGCATCTTAATACAAGAAGAACGAAATCCATTACCATAGCTGGAAAGATCATCTTAATACAAGAAGAACGAAATCCATTACCATAGCTGGAAAGATCATCTTAATACAAGAAGAACGAAATCCATTAGCATAGCTGGAAAGAGCATCTTAATACAAGAAGAACGAAATCCATTACCATGACTGGAAAGAGCATCTTAATACAAGAAGAACGAAATCCATTACCATAGCTGGAAAGAGCGTCTTAACATGAATGAAATTGCAAAGTTTGGTTGCGAATTGTTGTAAAACGAGGAAAATATAGCCCTGTGAAGTTGGCAAATTTTGTATATTGCATTACGCGCGCGCAAAACAACATTTTTGACCATAACTCATTAACTGCCTCTCTGCTCTGAAGAGCCTCCTAAAGTATTTACAAATAACTTACATGAAGTTTAAATAAAAATGAGCGCGCGCGGAGTCGTGGGAAGATTGAAATAAAGCCTTCCCATCACTCCTTGCGCGCTCACTTTTCCCTAACGAGAAACTTCATGTAAAGCCCTGGGCAAACTAGGAAACATTTTTGCGGAAACATTGTTTCCTACCAATGTTTCGCCATGTTTTCCAGACTGGGCAAACACTAGGAAACATAAGTGAAACAGGAAACATCAAATGTTTCTGAATTTGCTAGGAAACATTTTTGCTTCTCGGGAAGCAAATTTTGTTTCCGCAACAATGTTTCCACGGGTGTGTAGCCCGCGTGCAGCCTGACTTTTTGATGGGGAAGGGGGAAAGAAAAGAAAGAAAAGAAAAGAAAGACTGACTTTCCCCTTCCCCATCAAAAAGTCAGGCTGCACGCAGGCTACGGGTGGGCAAACAGGGAAACATTTGAGGAAACAGCGAGAATCACAAATGTTTCCGCAACAATGTTTCCTAGTTTCCCCAGGGCACAGACTAACAAGGTGCAGCAGAAGTGTAACTCAAGCAAGTATTTGTCCGCGTTCTTACAAGCGATTCTTAAGCCTTTGCGCAGGAGAGAGGATAACTGTGGATAGCGAGAGATACAAAAAGAAATTTGTGAAAGTCCGTGGTCACACAGCATTATAATCCAGTATTAACCATCACAAATCAGACGATAATGTTAAGGCGTTACTCGTAAGTAAGAAAATACCGTTGGATTATATCCTGTCCGACTATTTAAGGAGAAAAAGTATTTCAAAATATTATCACCGAACAAAGAATAAAGACAACTACTTCAGTGGTGCAGTGGTAGAAACTGCAGACGTCAAATGAGTAATGGTCGATTCTCGCCGAAGAAATTTTTTATATTTTAGCACCAAGAAATATTTGGAAATTAATTTTTTTTTCTCCAAAAATATTTTCTAAGGATGAAAGCAAACGGTATATTCCTACTTTCTTTACCCAAAAGAACACATACAAGCTATTTACACCGAATTTAAAGCCCGGTGAAATCCGGTGCAATCAGCTCTTGCATTATTTAAAATGCTGCTCCGACCCACTAGTACAGTTCAGCTCATTATAGATAATTTAAAGTCCGATGGAATTGGGGGCAAATGGAGAAAATTTTACACAAGGCAACGGCTCATTTCACCCAAATTCACCGGCATTTAAATCGTCTACAAATAGTTTAAATGTGTTCATTAGGGAAAGATAAGTAGGAATCTACCGTTGGCTTTCGTCCTGTGCGAATATTTATGGACAAAAAGCATAAAAATATTTCAAAGTATTGTCACGGAATAAAGGATTGAGATCACTAGTTCAGCTATAATCAGTTCGCTATGTTCATGAACACGTGGTGCAGTTGTAGAAACTACAGACGTCAAATGAGTAATGGATCGATTCCCGCCGAAGAAGTTTTTTAAATTTTAGCACCAAGAAATATTTGGAAATTAATTCTTTTTTTTTTCCAAAAATATTTTCTCAGGATGAAAGCAAACGGTATATTCCTACTTTCTTTACCCAAAAGAACACATACAAGCTATTTACACGGAATTTAAAGACCGGTGAAATCCGGTGCAATCTGCTCGTGCCTTATTTAAAATGCTGCTCCGACCCATTAGTATAGTTCAGCTCATTACTCACTGGGGCACCTGTGCCCGGGCGAGTATAGGTTTCGGCACACATTTTTAGTGGATTTCCAATAGTGGTCGCAATTTTCTTGTATAGCCACAAAATAGAATATTAATGAGCTACCCACTTTATCCTTTTCAAAATGGCGGCCTTGGTGGAGTGAGCAAAGTGTTTCGAACAATTTCGTTAAAATTTTCAACGAATTGTACCTGTTTTCTATGG